GAGAAAGAGCTTTTGTTTTCGTAAGCACCAAAAAACTTAATCAAGATATTATCGTGTGGAAGATAGTGGGATCAATAATGAGACAAGTGAGAAAGTGTAGGCTTACCGTCTGTTCTAAGAGCTCTGCTGTCCACTTTATAAGCAATAAGGTATTTAAACCAGGCCAACAACACCATGAAACCAAAAGCAGCAAAAGTTGTTATTAAAAGTGGAGTACTCTGAAAAACAAAACAAAACAAAACGAGCCGATTGAGCAAATATACTGAGAGTTTCAGGTGGATGTGGACTCCGTTGTTCAACATCAGCCGATCTTCGGCAAACAATCGGCCAATACTCTGCATTCATTCGGTAAATACTCGACTGCTGTTTTTTTTTAAAGGAAATAAGCCACAATATTTTGATTTATATTAAGGAAGACTGATTAATACTTGATTGGCAGGAGGGAAAAACAAGGAAAAGGCAGTAATAAAACAGGAAGTAAAAAAGAAGTCTAAGGATGGAGAAAATTTCAAAACTTATTGTACGCTGAACTGATCGAGTCTAACATTCAGGTACCCACCCTTTTTGGCTCATTGTCAATAACCAACATGTAGACAGCTTTAGACAGGATCGCACAGCCAGACAAAATAAAACATCCTCCAATTATGATGCACGCTCTATGAAACAACGACAAATGGCATATTAGATATTAATTATTAATAAAAGTTAAGCAAATATCTACATCGGCCACTGCCTAGTCTGAAGGGGAACCTTAGCGAGAGAATGGTAAAAGACTGGGCCAGGTGGACTTGGGAAACTGGGGCTAGGAGATGGCTGTCAACCAGCCTAACTAACAATGAAGGGGTAAGTTTCTAAAGAAACTGTGGTGCTGCGTCGGTGGGAGAGTATAGCAGGTAATTTAGTGTTAACAACTGGGTTGAAAACGTAAATTAGCCACCGTAAAGAGTAAAAAAGCTGACGTTTCGAGCGTTAGCCCTTCGTCAGAGCGACAGCTTTTTTACTCTTTACGGTGGCTAATTTACGTTTTCAACCCAGTTGTTAACACTAAATTACCAGCCTAACTAACAGTTCTGTTATACACTTTTCTTGGTAAAGTCTGAGTGCTCATTGGTTCCTTGTGACATTCCCTTTTTTTCTGACTGGTTGTTGTGGTAACTTCGCTATTTGTTTAACGACAAACAATCGAAAAGTTGCAAATATTTAAAACAAGTTTGGAAAATAGACTTCAAAAGAGAAAGGTAACCTAAGAAACTGGGGAAACGAATAATAAAATGGCAAGTAAGTCATGCCTTACTTTCGTTCTCTTTCGAAAGAATATTTTTGTCCCGCTGCACCTGAGAATCTCCATACCACAACAGCGGAAGAACAGGCATCTAAGACTGCGGCAAACTGCGACGAAAAAAAAATTGTCTTAAAAATAATGCTGAAAATATTAGCAGCTGCGCCTCCTACGACTCCAACGCATCTCTCGCGAGTGCTTCACATTTCAATGGACACTCAGCCGTCGCATGGAACTGACTTTAAATTACAATTAAACAACTTACTGCGAAGCCAAACGCTGCCGGGCTTCCATCCAGGGTAGACAATACTATATTTGAAAAGGAAAAGATTCATTCAGTGATAGTCTAAGGCGTTAAACGTTCCAATTTTTTTAGAGCAATTACACATTCGATAAAGGTCATCCAAGCAGATTCAATTTACGTGGTAAGCCTTCATTAAAAAAAACCTGCATCCCTTCCTTCCCCTCGCCACAAAATTAAGTCTTTTCATTTATATGTTAGAGTGCATTCATCATCGACAGATCGAACCAACTTTTTCCACTAATAATGTCACTAAATTGTCGACGACAATTTAAATCAAAAGTGTCTTCCCCTACTCAAACAAGTTCTGTAATTCAACCCTCGATTTTTTTAACCTTGTACCAGTAGAAAACAATTTCCTTTTTTTTGGCCGAGAGTCGGAAAACTGGGATTTATTTTAAGGCATCCCTACTACAGAATCCTAATAAAGGATTATCTCGATTTCCACCTAATGGATCTGATGTTAAATTGACAAAGACATGTTACATTCATCGTTTTTCAGTTTCTAAAATGTTTCAGGCACGAAATCTCTAGAGGGTGGGCTAATCTCTGTCGTAGTTTTACCCTTTAAACTTTAACATCGATATACATAGTCTCCTTACTGATCTCTATACATTTTCTTAAGATGCTGACAAGGAGAATTTGTGCAACAATCAAACCCTTCTTTAGTTGATGATCATTTCCCTTATTCTCCTGACCCTGATGAGTGATTCAGGGGCGATATTGTGAGGAAAAATTAAATACTAGTCACTCTTAGGTGTTAAAAGGCTAAGCTGTATGATACAACGCTCCAATTGGAAATAAGGAGAGACCATTTTAATGTCGTTATAACACAAAGATAACTGATGAAGATGATTTGATTTTTTCCATCAGCAGAAAGCATATTTTAGCTGACAACTTCACCAAGTTGCTAACTGAACGAGGATTCATTTGTCTTCCAAAATTATTCATTGACAGTGCCGGCCCAAAAAAGATATACATTATAGCGCCAGTGATAGTTTCTTACGTTAAGAGCTTTTGAAAATGTAAATTTAAAATTTTAAACTGAATTTTGGCTAATTTTTAGCCAAGTTTTTGTTTTATTAAATATGTATCGTTTTTGTTAATTTGACAGATAACCTTTCACTCATCTAATAATCGTTGTTATATTTAAAACAACAATTTCAGGGGACGGCTTATTTTAAATGATCTTTTTGTACTTCTAGGCAAACGCTGGAGAAGGTTTAAAATTTATTCACCGCATATGCAAAACGAATTCTCTTCAGACACAGCCAAACTCGATATTCAATTTTTAATTGTACCTAAAAAACATCGTGTGAAATATTAATAAACGTAGGCGATTTGTGGAGGTTAAATGCCTGAGATACTCACCAAAGTACGCTATTCCTAGGTTTAGAGTTATCGTTATGGACGCAAAGGACACGAGTAGGGCTGCCCTTCGCCAAGTTTCAGAAATATCAGTGTTAACTTTATCAAACTCACGGAACATCCCATCTGCAAGATATAAAGAAGCAAACTGATTAAAAATTCTCCTATTTCAAATTCACATAGGAGATTCTTGACGAAAATAGGAAATTCTATTGGAAAGACTTTGAAAATAGCGTAAAGAAAGAAATATATCAATTCTTTTAAAACCCGGTTGGAATATTAAATGCTAGGGTTGTTCAATATTCTTAAAAATGCTCTTTAGTTTGACGGCCGCGACAGCTTGTAGGAAGAAAGTCAAAATGTTTAAAGATACAGGTTCAAATACAGACCTTGATGTGCAGTGCGATTCGCCCTCCTTTGTCGCTCGAGATCGAATTGCCTTGAAACATTTATATATTGTATTCTGCAGTCATTTTCAGCGTTTTTTACAGCGTTGCTTTGAGGCATATTGAACGGAAAGACGCTAATCTTTTGTGACTACTGTACATCCATGAATTAAAACCGCGTTCAAGAAGTTAATCTTGTCAGAAGTAAGAAGTTCCTCCTCCGAAGAAAACAAACATAGAGTTGATCAATGTGCGTGACGGAGATAAATTCAGCACTTTTGATGTTTTCCTTTTCTTCACCAGCGTTTTGTCGGTGATAAATTTCACGAAAAAAGCACAGGTGAAAACACACTGTATGACATTCACGCTATTAATAAATCATGGATAAATTTCATAATATAACCGAGACCACGCAGCGAGTTTCATACGTTGGCCCAATTAATTCAAAACAGTAGTTTTTGTTCTGGGAAGTCTCTAATTACGATCAGTCCTTTCCTTTGAAATGCAAATTTACTGGCGATAACAACACCCTAAAGTCAATGTTTTTAGATGAGCATTGCATTTAACCCGTCTATGCATTAGCACTATCACGTTAGCTAAGAGTATTTCAGAAACGAAATCACTATAATACTATCAGCTGTTAGGGCAAAAACGTCTCAGTATTATTTTATCAGATCGGTTGATGTTTTGTTATTTAATTGTCGTTCATCCGTCGATAAACGCTAGAAAAACCCTCTTTTAAATAGATAATAAGCGAAAAATCATTTGCGCAAATTTCAGCTGAACAAATACGTATTTTATGTTAGTCACTTAAAATTAATGCAACCTTTTTAAAAGTTGTCAGTTTGGAAGAGTGGATCAGTTTGTTTACTGTAAACAAAGGAAACGTGAGACTGAAAAATCACTGGAAATGCCGGGAAGATGAATCAGTAATGTAAAAAAAATTGTCATTTCTACAGAAATTGTCATTACTACAAATAACAAAAAAAAAAATAAAAAAAAAAGAGGACAACGCAGATTAATTATAGACAGTCGCACAAAGCCACATGCAGCGTTTTATGAATTATAGTTTCCAAGACTACCTTTAGGGTCATCAACAAACATGTTTTGCAGCTTCACTTGATCTTTGAAGCACAGCAAACGTAAGCAGTGCTTAGTGTAAATAGAGCACTTGTTGCCTTGGCAACGAAATACTTGATGATTCCGTGGGACTGATGACAGGGTTTCCTCGGTGAATACACTCCACAGATTTCAAGTCTTATTTTTTACTTCTAAGAGTCAATGTGAGAGACTTTCTCCAATTACAATTTAGCATGTAAGCAAGCATTCATCAGCGCTAATATCCTTTAATAGAATTGCGCATGGGTGGCAACGCCAATAAGGACCAGACCCCTCGCAGCTTACCCAGCTCAACTCTCGCGGACTTCACGAGAGGCCTGCGACATCCCTGTACAGCGGCACATTAAGAGTTCGACAGCTGGCTACTCACATCTAAAATAAGCAAAGTAGAAAGATCGTTTTGGCAACTTCGTCCGACAACATAGAAGCTCTGAACGTCGTCATGATACAAAGATTTTTTTTCAACTGCGATGATCTTTCTTAGACCGATGAGAATATCAAAATTTGGAAACAAAAGATTTTAAAGATGGCGGATTTTTCGATCATGATTTTGGGCCCTGGGTATAAGTACAATTACAATTTCCTACGTTTTCCTAATAGATTCAGTGACTTATATCCTGCAGAGAGTTTTCTTTGTCGTATAAAAAACCCACTTCAAGTAATCAGTCGTGTGATTAGAAATATCTCATTACACTGCGCCAAATACATCGCTTATAGCCATGTCTTGACGCTTGACAAACTGTGATCTGATAAAAAAAAATTCACTAACAGGAAAAAGAGCATTTTTATTAAAAAAACGTTGTTCTTATGTAATTTATTTTAAAAATTATTCTTCCACCTATTCGTTATGAAAGACATCTTCAATTCTAACATTTATATCCACTACAAACAGCGTATTTTTCACGAAGTCTCGTTGTCTCGACAACCTTTTCACAGATAAGCACAATGATAATTATTCATCCGAAGGAAAAATCGAAGACAGCGTTCACAGTCTGGGCAAACACATCAAAATTACTTCTTTTGTTTTGTTTTGTTTTTTCGAGGTTCGTTAACACTTTTCACTTAGAATATTGTTCTACTAATCGAAAAGATCTGTTGTTTTTCCCGTTGCTTGACATAATGAGTTAAAAGCTGCGACTTTGTGTTTTTATTGCGAATAAACGAACACTCCTGGTCACATGAGAGTATTTGATAACTTTCTTTTTCTTGAATTTTTTAGAGCAGAATCTGAATGATATGCATTCAAAAAACTATTTTGATTGGAAATCCGTCTAGTATGCTGATGTAACAGTGATATTTTTGTAAAATATTTTGCAATTTTTTTTTATCAAAGAAATTTTGTTTCCTGGTAATACATACCACGAATTGCCTGCCCTTGGCAGAATTTCTGTCAGTTTCGTATCCAACATTTGAAGGACTTTCTATTTTGATCGAGTTATCGCAATATTTTAGCGAAAATTCTCGTGACTCGGTACGTTCCAGAAAAGCTGCGGTATTGTCCATTTGTCATTCAGTGAAAAGGTGATTTAATCGAAGAGGAAAATGGCTGGCCATCGAGCTGCTATTTGGCCAAATGTTAAATATATCTAAATCCTGCCCACAGCAGAATAGCCACAAAATAAATAATGAAATGAAATTCGCGCCTAGCCGACAATACAGAAACTTGAAAATTAATCCAATATTACTTTGCACTACATCCCCTTTTCATAAAATCACGTCTCAAAATGGAACGTTTTGAGTTTAAAATAAAGATCACTCTAAAACTGAAATTGTGCGTTCATTTTAAACGCTTGTTTTATCCTGTCAATTTTTTTTTTAGCTCAGTTAAAGATAGCGACAGCCAAGTCAGCGAGCGAATTCGTGAAAACGGAAAATTACGCTACAGAAATTCGTGTTTACGATTGATTTGTACGAAGACATCAATTTCATGTCATGCCAGATTACTTTTAGAGAGTAATTCTTTAAAATTTCGTAATGCTTCCTTTGGATGACTGCAAAAGAGTTACCGGCAATAGGATTGGTTGTGAATACCGCACCAGCGAAAAAATTAGGATCAGGAATATATGAAGGCTTAGTAACAGCAGTGATATCCGTTTCTTTTTTTTGTTTGAAGGCCAGTTTTCAACAGCAGGATTTTCATATTTCTCGTCGGAAGTTTTTAATTTTAGAATTTTGAAATGTTTAAATTGCTGAAATAACTTAAATTCAGTTACTGACTTCGAAACACAATAGCTTTATGTGCCATAAATCACTTTTGATATCTTGGAAAAAGAGCAACTAAATCTATCGATTCTTCTACCTTCTAATAGAAAGGAAAAAACTTACCAATTTTTAACCACGTAGACTCGATGAAGAAACGTTAAAAACAGATTCAATTTTTCCTATGATATGATATCTTCCTGTTTAAAGGTCGATCGTCATGTACCGAGAAGACTTCTCGTTGTTATCGATCACACTCCGTCAAAATATAATCAGCTGTCAGAGAATTATAATACTTATCTTCAAATGAATACATAATGACTAATTATTGTTTGGAGAGCGCATTAGTTTGTTTTAGAGCTTGTGAAACTGAAAGAATACTTTGCCAATTCCAGATGCGGGATACGTGTGATATAGACTAAGGAAGTAGAATATTCAAAGCACTCTTTTCCGCCATTTTCGAGACAGATAATCAAAAGCCGGGATAACCATACTTCTTTTTGTAAGCAAGGTAACGGATACGCGACTTACAACAGACTAATCAATGCAAATAAAAGCAAATTTACAAAGCGGAACTTTTTCAAGGAAGCTAGTAATTTTCCCATTTTTGGCATTTGGGAATTAAATTTTTGGACTAAACCCCGTAAATTGTAGGAGTTAATTTCTCTATCTTCATCCCTATACCTCGCTGCAATAGATTTTCCATCTGAATTAGTTTAGAGAGTTTGGTGGGCTACGGACTCCTTCCTCAGACCTGTGAGTATTTAAACATCTTGTATGAAACCAAAATTCTTCCAAAAACAGGATTGCATATTGCTACTCGACTTATAGTCAATTAAATGTTATCATGTCGAAATATTTACATGCTCATTCAGGATCTAGAGGGGAAAAGATGTGTTTATTGAATCAAGGTACGGGGTTCCCACTTCTCCTGCATCAAAATTCCCTAAATCCACACCTAGTTGAACGAGTGTTGAACAGTGTGGCCATTCCCATGGGCCTTTTGGGTAAATGTACGTATCTGAGTAACAACGCACCTATGCTATTGGTTGACTGTTGTTGGGTTAAGGGAAGGGTAGGTGCGCAGTTGTTAAGATACTGAAATTGACCGGGCCTTTTCATCTCTATAAAGGAAAAGTTGCTGTTTTGTTATTTTTCAATGCTGCTGCATTTATGGTACATCTTTTGTTGGAGGTTTGAAAATGAGATGAATTACATTGTTTGTTATTAAACAATTTTGAATGAAAATAGGTTTTGGAAATAAACGAGACCCGGATATTTTGACTCCACTCAGTTTCTTCGCATATTCAGGCCAAGGGCATGCAACTTGTCATAATAATAAGATGAACATTTTGAGACATCGTCATCTTAATTCAACCATAATACGTCCACATTGCCATCTAGGGCAGCTTTAAAACGAAGTGTAATCTTAAGTCGTGGTTCCAAAAAAAATTAGTAGAACAAAAGAGTTTAATTTATTTTTTGAAATGGTTGTTGACGGGAATAAATGTTTTTTTGTTTTTCTTTGTTTTTTTTTACGGTGCTAGCCGCAAAACGTTTTGACATCGTTGAAAAAATTGAAAGGTTCAATAAAACGTGGGGCTCAACTCAAGGTGATCTCTACAACATGGTCTTACTGGAGAACTGCTAAACCTTGTGGCAATTAGCGTTCATTTGAAGGCCCTCTCGTATTTGTTTTGCGTTGGACAGCCTCCGGGGATCTTTTCTTACTTGCCGACAATTCTGTCTTTCCTCGACACAAATGTCAACACAACACCGTTATACTTAAAAACTTGAGTGAACCGTAAATGAGCGGAATTGAAATTGATGTCGAGTATACATTTCAAAAATTATCCAAACTTTAAAGTTTGCTTTATGTACGAAAGAAGTTTTTACTTACCTCTACTCATTTCCGTGTCAGCGGAAAGCGGAAAAAATTCCCTCGAAGCTTTCTTTCAATTTTACTCTGTGTGGCGTTACTATCTGTACGAATTCTCGGCCAACCGGCAAACATCAGTCCCACATCATACCCGAAATTTCCAGAGGGTTGAATGACAACTTTTTCCTATCTGCAGTTGCACACTGTATCAGTACTTCGAAACTAAAACGGCGCGATTTTCTATTGCTTCCAGTTTCCTCGTTTACACACTTACCAGCAGATTTGTTATGAAAGAAGGTAAACTTCACTACTTAGAATGATTTGGCTGACAAGATTAATTCGTCACCTTTCCTGAATAATAGTCAGGCCGTGAAGTGTGAAACTCGATATCTTGGTTGACTAATTTTCGTCTCGAGTGCAATTTAGTATCGCACATCTGACAAAAATTAATAAAGGCGTTAATTTTGTAAAATGAATGAGGCGAGCATCACAACTGACAGCTATTTAGCATGAGATTACTCAACAGCAGGGTGTTTACTGATAAGCTTCTGGTTCCTCTATTCATTCAAGAGAAATTAAAGAAGGTGGGCAATGATATATTCTCGCTGTGACTGATACAAACCTTTGCCGACGTAGGTTATATTGAAATGTCAACAGTGAAAGGTATATCTTCTTTTTGCGGCCAAATGATTCATTTTTCACAGGAAGTTTCACCATTTTGTTATGTAGTACTGCCAGCAACCTTTCAATCAAATTAAATCGGATCGCATGATACAAACAGCTGCACGCTATAAAATCATGCACATGAAACTGCTGGACAAATTACACACGTCAAAGGGATCCTTTCGAACATAAATTGACAACAAAATTTAAAAAAGCCGCAAAACTGATTGAACTTTTTCACAGATTCCCAAGTTCCATAATCAACATATTTCTCTTTATATGGGATAATTTCACCATCATAATAAGTCTAGTTAACCGAAAATAAAAAAATATGTTAATAAAAATAAAAAACAGGCAACAAAAGCCTCCAAAAATAGCAAAACAGCTGACACTTAATGGTCATCTAATTTGCTTTCGTCACTGACGTGGGAGACACAATAAATATTTAATAAATAAGGCTACGTCACATTTCCTGAATTTTCTTAAGTGTAAAAATAACTTAAAACATCCTTACACATGAGCATTGAGTTCTAATTTCTTGCAATTTTTTGTTGCCTTAAGAAGGCACAAATTGTGAATATATCACCTCACATAGTGCAAAGAAATCACTAATAAATAATATCGCCTAAATGAGTTCTTATTCAAAAAATATTGAACTTGATAAATAGATACACTATGTACATATCAAAATACTTAGTTATAAATTACCTTGCCGATGCAAATAGAAAGTTCTACTCACTGACTTTAAATTAACCTTAACGCCATAACATCAGTTTACAATTCCCATCACCTCAATGTTTGATTTAGGGGTGCTAGTCTTGGGAGAAATTGGATGCTTATCACTCTTAAAGGTTGAAGGGTCAAAGAGTAGTTTTAGGCCAATCACTGAGATGGGATGAAAATAATCAGCTCAAAGCTGTGATCCAAAGTCGATGAAGAATCAGTGGGTGAGTGAAAACTTTTCTCTCACAAAATTTATGTGCCCAACTTTTAAAAGCTTTCTAATAAGAAAACTGATAAAAGTCATCCACAGGTTGCTCTTACTAACCCAGCACCTTCAGAGCACAGCCCTACAGTTAGAGATTTTTCAACTTGATCCTCTAACACTCCTCTTTCTTTATACACACAAATAAGGAAACAAAGTGACATCTGTGAGCCAAAGGTATTCATGTGTAACATACAGTTCTCAGGAGCATTGTCCTTCCTAAATTTTCTCTCCTCATTCCTCTCTATTGTCCTGGTCTTTAATTGAAGAAAAGTGGCAACAGGACAGGGAATTAATCCCTTACAGAACAGAAGCTTGACTGTGTAAAAACTTATTTCCAAGAAAATTCTCCTGCCCAGCTGGTCAAGGTTCCCCCACTATTTAGGGATGCTTACAGTGTACTAGTCGAATCCTTCCCATGTGGGGGGAGCGGCTTTTCCTTTTGAAGAAAGAAGATTTGCTAATAACCTGTTAATAGGAGAAAAAATGAGAGAGATTAGTTGATAAAGTCTAGCTTTAGATACAGAATATACCTTGGCCTACATGTAGCTCCTGT